GGGTTGGTTGAAAGTCAAGGTTTCCTACAAAACTCTTCCCTCTCACATGTGGGTTATAATCTTGAAAGGTACGGCATCCTATGCAGGTCATCAGTATCAAGGACTCTCAGGTCGAGAGACGATGATACGTTCACCATTTCTGATTTGGCATCATGGTCAATCAAGGACAACTGACTTCCCAATGAACGATCTCTAGAGTCGTTAGTTTTTCTAAGTCAATACTCCCTCAACTGCACCAGATGCGCAGGATAGAGTATCTCCAAAAAAAACCTTGTTTGGACGTGAATTTTATGCGAGCTATTGCGTGGCCAAACGTCACACAAGCTCCCACTATTCTCTACATTAATCCTGTGTGTATACTCAAACTTGGGTATTGGGCTTATCTCTCAATGAAACAACCCCCCACAGCACAACAACAATATAATATGATAACTATAAAATGCAAATGCAATAGTATACAACAAGCCATGTACATAAAGCAAATAAGTGCACCAAAATAAACACCCAAAGAAACAGAAACAAACAAGCGCTAGGATTGACTCGCATAAGGAACCAGTTGTCCCCAGCAGAGTCGTCAGTTGTCGCAACTGCGAAAACACCCGGCAAAAAAGCAGAAGATTCGCCATCGAACGTTATCTATCCCAAAGAGAGGGAAAGGAAATGATCGAAGAAAACCTAAAGAACGGGAAAAGACAAGGTCATCGCAACTAAATCTTTAATTCAAGAGTCGGTTACGCAAGAGGAAGGTATTAGCACCCCTCACGTCTGTCGTACTCAACGGGATCCATGTTTGTTGTCTAATCAAAGGGTGTGATTATCTATAAGCTACTGCTAAACGGAAACGAGAACAAAAGAAAAAGAAAGAGACTCGATAGGACATCGTCGCCCTATGTCTACGTATTCCCTCGTGCAATGGAAAAGTCAGAATCAATGTAGTTCGGAAAACTACATGTGATGGGAAGAAGGTTGCTCCCCGAGACTTTGTCGTATTGTGCCTATGTATCCTCAGATGGTGTGAGAAATCAGAGCAAACGTAGTTCGGGTAACTACGGGAAAATGGGGGAAAATGGTGCTCGCCAAGACTTCGTCGTCTTATGCCTACATATTCTCATCTGGTATGAGAAACCAGAGCAAACGTACTTCGGGAAAATTAGACCACTAGTTGGTTAAGTGTTTTTTATAAGTGACGTTAAGTTCCCATTCCAGCAGTTAGGGTCGATGTTTGTTTGCGGTAGAACGAAAAAGTAACGTACTCTTTTCTAAAAATGAGTTTGAACATAAATCCCGAAGGATAAAAAGTTGAGTTTTGTTTGTGGATTTTAGTGAAATGAATTAGTTTTCTTTGTGATCCACATTGTCCTAAAGACTATGACATAGGAACGAATGTGTCGCATATCGCTCTCAGACGGGACGTACACTAAACACTTTAAACAAGCGAGAAGAGACCCCTCACTTATCATTTCCCATATGCTTAAGGCTCGTAGCGTACAACATTCATCGTATTTATTAGATGAGTTAGAATGTATTTTGAGATGAGAAGAGAGACGCACAGAAGGTCTAAGAGAAACTCGGTTCTAACGTTGTCATGCAAAGTGGTCCTAAGGTCGGGATGCGAAGGAGATTATATCCTAATCTTAACATACAAAAGATGGACCTAAGGTTGAGGTTAAAAGGGACTAGTTTACTTGTTATCATGCATGAATCAAACTCCTAATGTCTATCTTACTCCAAATTTAATCGGAAATTAAATTGGAATAAGAAACCTAAGGGAACATGCAAAGACAAAGCAAAAAAAGAAAACAAGGTAAAAACAACAGCTATAACAGCGCCTCTTGCATAAAACGGCAGTAAAATTCAGCATACAAGCAAGACAGCATATAACAGCACATGTTTCAGCACAAAAACAGGTGTGAAAAAGCAGGCAGCAAGCAAGTAAAGACAACATGCAAATTCAAAGTATGAACAGCGGTGGAAAGTAAGGCAGCAAGCATGTTCGAATGCAATTAATCAAATGCAAACAACAATCATGGATAGATATTGTGTAAGTATGAACATGCTTTGACAAACAAACATAATCAATCAACACATTGCATCAAAAAGAAACATCAAGATCAACGTGTTTTTCCATTTAAAATGAACAATCGAACAAACACGTAACAAAGCGGATTCGAAAACAAATGCAATCATGCATCACAATATTCAGCAACATAATCATCAATGATCATCAATTAATATGCTATAAACAAACAAGTGAAATGATCATTCATCAAACAAATCGCATGAACATGTTAAACATTCAAAACGGAAACCAAAAGTTGCTCGTCGAAGAATCGAGATCAAATATTCAAGAATGATGAAATATGTAAAAAAAAACAATCCACATAAATGCATCATATAAATCCGTTAAGTTCACATGTGAAAAGGAGCCCAAACAAGCAAGAAAAATGCAAAAACACAGCATTCTACTCAGGGGTAACCGGTTACTCAATATCAGGTAACTGATTACCCTATTGAAAAAAACAGCCTGGACGTGAAATTTGTACTGAGTAACCGGTTACCCTATATAAGGTAACCAGTTACCACTGAACTTGAACCAGAAAATCAGCTTTTAAAATCAATTTTCAGCATTCAACAACTTATCCAATCATTCATATGAACATGATATCAATCGAGCACGAAATTATTATCAAGAAACAGTGATCAAACATTATGTAAACACAATCAAACGCTGAAATCAAAAATCACCAAGATCCAAATCATCAAAATAGAACAAAAAGTAGCAAAAACCATGGATCTACGTTGTGATTATTCAAATAAGCTCAAAACAGAATTAGATCTAGAATTGCCAACATTAAAAGTTGAGATTTGCTTTGGTGAGTGTTGATTCACTTGAAATTAGCAAATCCAAGCAAGAAACTCAGAGATTCTTCAAGATCTAAGAGCTTCCTTGTGGTAGAAATGAAGAACAAGCAAGATCAAGCAAAAATAACCCAAAAAGCACTTCCAATCTAACTTCCAAATTCAGATCCAAAAGCAAACAAAAATTGAGTGATGAATTGAAGATGATGGAGGTTTAGCTCTAGAATTCTATGATTCCAATGAAGAATCAAAGAATTCAAGTGAAAGAGCTTTAATGGAAGTTTTGAGAGTGAAAAAATAAAAAGTTGAGAGCAAATTCTCAAGAATGAGTGTAATATCTAAAAATGAAGGTTAATTTTTGTGAGATTTGAAGCAAATTCACTTAAATAAGCTCTAGGTTTTGAACAAAATGTGGTTTGGAATGTGGATTAGCATATGAAATAGAAATTAGGAGTGGAACTAGAAATGGGGTGTTTGAAATTTGGATTGAAATTGTGAAATTTGAAACAATTCTAGATTCTTCCAAATATGATCAAGTGAAATCAAATGGTTGAGCATGATTGAAAATTACACATGCTGAAAATTCAAATTCTTTGGCCAATTTCGTTTGAAGTAAGCGGCTACCATATATGCAGTAACTGGTTACTACATTCAAAAATGCCCAAATTTGGCGCCAAGTGAAGGGAATCTTGTATGATCACCCGTTGTCATCTGTGATAAGCTCTGTTAAGCCCCTGAAACTTGCCTTTGGATATTATGATTGTGAGAATGTCGGAGATATCATGTACACCGTCTCCTGAGTTGAAAATAACCTGCTGAATAAAATAAAATCGACTGCTCGATCGCTGGGCAAAATAAATGTCGGAGCCTCTGATGCTCGCTGTTTAAACTCTTGCAACAAAAGGAAACTCTGAGTCACAGAAATACCTTGATCACATGTCTCGAGAACCAATGCTATGAAATACAAAAAATGCAAAAATGCAGAGAAACAAAAGTCAGTTACGATAAAAATGAAAAGGCAAATTTTAGGATGCTACGTTCATGTTAATACCAATCACATGGAACTTGATATCTCTTTCATCCTCGGAGAAAAGGTGCTTAGCAAGACCCTAATTGTTCAACATGTTCCTTCATTTGACTTGTTTGCTGATCTTCTCAATAAACCCTGGTCTCCACTCAGATTCCTGCAACTTCAAGACAAACTACATGTGTAAGACATGATCGCTCTTTCTCAGAGATGACTTTATTTTTAGGAGAATATATTAGAGATAAGTATATATCTAGCTAGAGTGACCAATCAAAACTCTTGTAACTAAGTGTGTTGGCTCAACACACTGAAACTCATCTACAAATATCAAGTTACATCACTTCGTAACTAACTTTGCGAAACTAAAAATAAAAATCAATTAGATCAAAATAGTTATTCTCCCTTTCTTCTAATCAGAACAATTATTCTCTCTCTTCTCTCTTCCTCTTGCATTTATTAATTTCTTACACGTCTTTTATTGACTTTTCCTTTGCATAAGTAACATTTTATTTTAGTGTAAAAATCTTACATGATATTATATCACGATCTTGAAATAAAAAAATTCATACACAAACTCTAACAACTCAACACTACTCAACACTAATTTTTTTAATTTTCAAAACTTATGCGAATTCAATCTAAAAAACAATTAGGGTTACAGCTTAAAAAGCAAAAAAGAGACGTTGCTCACTCAAAATGTTATTGAGAGAAAATTTCAACTCCTTCCAAAAGCTACCAAATGACCTACCTGCAAACAACATTTCCAACAAAAAGCTATGTTGGCATGAATTAGCTGCTATGTAGGGATTTATAATAAACATTACCGCACAAATCAGTTCCATTCTTTGAGACCAAGATCAATGTAGGAACCAGTTCTGATTAGGGAAAGTATTGTAACTTTTACATTGGAATGTTTCTCTACTTCTCCATATATGCTACTGAGAATACTATCCATACTTAGGTACAAAAACTTGATTGATGCACATAATGTACATATTAGACTACTCCACAAACATGTACAGAAACCTAACTAGACCATAGAGATGGATAACTACCAGTGAAATGGAGAAAACAATTCAGTTGAAGAATACTTTACAGGAACATTGCAGAATTTTCAAGAAAAGGAAGCTTCCATTGCTTGTAAAATTTGTGTAGTACTAAATCTGAAATTCCTAAAGCTTCGGCCAGGTCCTACATCAAGAGGCTGAGAATCTGGTTCAGTCTTTGTTGGCTGGCTTTCCATAAATGTGGAACTACTTCCAGTAGAACTGTGCTTCGCTTTCCACACACAAATTCCTTAACAAAAGAATAAAGGCTTGTTAGCAATCCTGATGCAGAAGTTTTGGAAATCTAGGAGAATCAATGTAAAAATGCATGAGTAGCATTTATGTAAGCACATCCATCCATCCATCTTTTTCTTTATTTTCATTACAGGTAGTTAAACCATAAAATAATAGATGTTTGTAACGACCAGCCAGCACTTGCATTAATATAGCAAATACCTTTAAGAGGCAAATCAGGTCTTGGAGCCATAGGAGGTTGGTGGGATGAAATCCATGATTTCAAAGATCTGCATGAAGGCATTGAATCTTTTTGAACATTGACAACATAAGGGACATCAGCATAAAATCAAAAACATGAAGTTGTACTCACGCCAGAAAAGGGGACACCATATACAGCTTAAGACCAGTGATCCCACGAGATATCACTTCGTCACTTGAAGGTTGAAGGTCATCAAGTCGTTGCCATGCAATTTCCTATATAGATATAACAAGCCAAATTCAGCATTCTTATCTCGTATGGAGTAGTAGTTAAAGAGCTCTAAAACTAAACAATGCAGAATTAATACAAATCCAATTTTCAAGGTAACATGGCTCCAAGATAAATAAATTAAAAGAATCACATACACTGATCTCCTTTTTGGTTTGTGGGGCAAATGATGTATCATCTTTGACACCAGCAATAATGTAAAGTCGCACTCTCTGTTGTCCAAAAATAACTTCAAGGTATTCATCCTTGTTAAGAAGTTTTGAAACATCAAAACCTGTTTCTTCCAAGACCTGCATTTAGCACAAACAAAAACAAGTTAGGAAAAGCTAAGGCAAGATTCTTGTGTATTTGACCCAACTTAGTTTTTTGGCTTTTTTCTTAAACTAAAAGCTAAAAATAAGAGCTTTGTAAATAAAGCTGAAATTATTTTATCATTCCAGCTTGATTCCATCCAGCTTAATAGTTGTTTAAGAAATAAAAATGTTTGGCAAAATGTTTCTATAAGATCCTTGATCATATTAAAAATTCTATAAGACAAACATTAGCAAGTAATAGTCTTCAATTTCTTTTAGAATATACATGCGCGCGTGTGCGAAAAGAGTTCAAATTACCCCAGAATACTACGGTATAGTTACACTGTTCAATAACTTTTTATCAAATGCATATATTACTAAATTCACCGCTGGCGTTGTATTAAGAGTAACTATCACATAATCATACATTTAAACTCTGCATAATTTAAAATTGTCTGTAATGTCATTGAGATAAACCACAATTTTCGATGTTTAAAATTGCTTGATATACAATATATGTGGGGGATTGTTTCAATTCAATACACCTAGTTTTTGAGAAGGAGGACTTTCGTCCAGCTTCTCCGTTTAAGGGAGGGAATGCACCCTTAGTATGCCATAAATTAGCCAAGTCAAACTAATTGTAGGTTTAGTAAATCTATATCATTTGTGTTATGTTTCATAGAGCTACAGATCAAAAGAAAATAAAAGGAGAATCATTCACAACTAAAATGAGAAAGGGATAACTCTGAATAGCCGTGCTTACTTCTCTTACGGCACATGCATGATCTTCTTCATCTTTGCTCTTTTTGCCACGAGGGAAGCTCCAACTTGATCCTTTCCATCCCTTAACTAGCAAACACTGTCAACAGATAGTAAATAAGAATCAACATACCATTAATAACTTTGATAGGAATGATTTGAGTCCTATGAGGCTCTCTTGTAAAACTATTGGCTTGAACCTAGAAAAGTTGATGTCATGTTGTAATAGACACTATCTTGAACATACAATGCAGGTTAAAAACTTAATAAACCTGAATGTCTTTTCTTTATATAATAATTGTACTTCTTAGAGACCTAATTAAAATTTTCAATGCACAGTTGAAGTAATACATCCCTCATGTTCAGAAACAAAAAGCTTTCACAGACCACGGAATATCGGTGAAGGTAAAAGCAATATTTCAAAATAACCCATAATAATAATAATAATAATAATAATAATAATAATAATAATAATAATAATTTTAAAAATAAATAATAATAATAATAATAATAATAATAATAATAATAATAATAATAATAATAATAATAATAATAATAATAAAAAAATTGTAATTACATTCGGGAACCCTGGTTATTTTGAACTAACACTGCAGCTACAAAACAAAAACATAAGTAGCCTTTGCACCTCTAACTTCTAGATGTTAACACAGTATCAATGTCATCTTCTGTAATATTTTTAGGGTCCATTTGATTTGTTTAAAATGAGAGACTGTAATATCAAAACTTTAACGCCATGTTAGATTTTAAAAATTTACATTTGGTATTGTCTCTAATCTCTTGAATATGAGCAGCCATCAACTGACAATATTGATCCTCCTTAGAGCCAACTATCAATAATCTATATTATAGAATTTATAAGATAGATTTTAACCATGTGAAACTCACACACTGAGTATAGAAATTGTTAACAAAACGTACAAAACAAAGTACAAAAATGAGAGAAAAAACAACATATTATAGTTTTAATTTAGGGTGTAAATTGACTCAGGGCCATAGTTATAAAATAGAGGCGAAGCCCACTGCATTAGAAAAGAAACCAAGGCATTATCTTATTATAGAAAGCAAACAATAAGTACTATTAAGAGCATATATTCTCAGCTTACCCTTTCAAAAGTTTCATCAAGAATTATTGCGCCAGTTACAGGAACTCGGACCTTGTAGGAAGTGAAGTCCTTAAAAATGTCATCTATATGGGCCACATAAGGCTTCAAAACATCACAACTATTGAACACTGTTCAATATTAAGGAAGAATCCAGTTATATGATGTGAATACTGAGATTAGATTAGGAAAATGAAACTAAAATGTAGTGATGATTAGCCTTTTCTATGTAAAGTCTATACAACAATGCCTTCTAATGTCTAAAAAAGTAAATCAAAACAAGGATATCCTTGTCTCACCTAGCCAGAGAATTAAATTAAAAACAACACTATTCTAATATTAGCATTTCATTTGAAGTATGTGTGTATCTGTGCACAAGCATGTGAGCATAGCTGTTCGCCAATACTGTCGAAATTTTTGAAGGAAAAAAAGGCCTGCTTAGTGCTTACATCTTTTCAGTGCAATACCAGGCAGAGAAAATTTACACTAAGTCACTGACAATTTGCTCTGAAATCCATGTAACACATGCAGTTTCCTCTACCTTTAAACATAGCAAAAATGACGACAAAATTATGAAGCTTTCCAGAAAACTGGACTGCAGATTGTTATGCTTGGTTCAGTGCTAGAATATAGAAAATCATAAGAGGAGAATAATTTAGAATTTAGATCCCCTCTGCAATTTCATTCATAGATGACAAGAGACTGCATAAAAAATAATAAAATATATAAATCTTGAGGAGCAACACAGTTTTAACAAAATCAAATATTTCAAACCATCCAAGAAATCAATGTCCTCTGTTCACACTCTTTCATTTCACCTCCATGTCTCTAAACCAAAGAATTCAGCTTACTAAATTGTTTTCCCTTGTTTAATGAAAACTAAGAAAGAAGCCAGTGCATGAAAAAATAGCTGATATGTTACTATTATCAAAAGTAAATTAACTAATAAGAATAACTTAAGCAATTTTAAACGGAGAGGACAAAAAGCAAAAGAAAACTGTAGTAAGGATACATAGTGAAGTGAACTCCTTCAGACTTAAAGACTTCAGAGATGGATTATTTTCTACAGAGTTATCTTCATAAAACCAATGAGCATACTCCACGAGAAATAAGATCCTTTCAAATGATTGAAGGTCTTCCTGTGGCACATTTAGCACAAACCGGCTGCAATATAAACATCATAGAGTGGTTTTTTACCATATGAACAGCATAAACAAAGGATAGAGGGGAAAGTTGATAGAATTCCAAAAGTGTTACAGAAATAAAAGGACTAGAATATCCAACAGCATGTGATAAAACCTATATCACTACAAATCCATGCCAAACCATTTCAACAAATCTCCTAATTATTATTAAAAAGAATAAATAAAAACTGAAGAAAACAATTGAATGGGTGACAGGACCCCTAAAACCAAGATATATTCAAGGAGGACAAAGCAGCAAGCAGTGGACTAAGCATCGGGTTCAAGAGAGATTACGAAGAATATTTCAAATTGAAAACATGGGGCATAAAGAAATAGATGTGTGGAAGGCAGATAATATGTCAGAAAAGAATTCAGTAGAAAAAAGGAGTATGACTGGAGATGGGAATGAGAGTTAGTGAGAAAGGAAAAAATAAGGACCCTCGATGTTCTAGCTGTGTTCTTAGTCTTATTTATTTCCTTGATGTATCTCCCTAAATTTCATGTATAAGTACTGTGTCTCTAAATCAATTCCTTGTCAATACCACATTCATACTTGCACGCACAAAAACACAAATTCATTCTGGGACCTTATTAATCCTTTGTCTAAATATTCTTTATAACTTTCTCAGATTTTATCATAGAAGGTGTTGATTCTTTTGAATAGGTCTGACTTTCATTGAGATGTTCATCTCATCATAGTGCATATGGTAATGGTACTTCTAGGCCAAAAGCCATAGAGAAGGATATGAGCTCATTTCAGGTTTAGTGATTTGGCATTTGGAAGTTCCCTCTGCACAGAGAAGGATCAAATAGAGCATCATCCCCCCATTTTGAAAATTTGCAGCCAAAAACCATAGGCTGTGAAATAACTTTGGCTTCAGCCACCATGTCAGTGTCAATTTTAAATACCTAATGATTAGTTAATCCTTCATGTTGGCTCTGTTTGGATATCATAAAATGAACGGAGCAGAATGGAATGCAGCGGAGTGGAATGGAGCTGAATGAAGATTCCAATTCCATTCCGTCATTTGTATATTTTAGGAAGGAACGAGGTAAGTTTTTCATTCCACCCAAATCAGACGGGGAGAAACATGGTGGTAAGTGATGGAATGGAATCATACCACCCCATTCTGCTCCGCCCCATCCAATTTAACTTATCCAAACAATAGAATAACACTTCATTCCATCTCATACCACTCCATTTTATCCAATTCTATCAATCCAAGCATACCCTTGGGACTTAGTTGAGTGAAACTTTGTCGCAATAGTTCTTGAATGTATCAAAATTTATAAACAACAACATACCTAAATGCATATTTTGTTAATCCTTTTAGACTTCAATTAGTTACTAGTTAAATTTTCAAATGTAAATACATTCAAAGACTAAAATGACAATGCTTCACATATTTAGAGACCCAAAATGACTATTTACCCCTAATAATGATTTTTCACATTCATCAGCGGAGAAAATCATGAATCAATCATTCCTTGAAGCTTAAACTAACATCTTCTTATGTAATCCACAGTCAACACCACACAATTCCTCAGGTAATGCAAGTAAAAAAAAGAAAACAAATGAAATCGAAAGCAGAAAATGGAAATTAGGAACCTGCAAAGATCGTCGAGGAGTTCTTGAGGTGGAAGAACGGTTTTGTATGAAGAACTTGGAGAACGATGATGATTAGCCATGGGTAGTGGCTTCAGAGCTTGAAACCCTAGAACCAAATAATTAAATTGAATTGAAATGAGGAAAATTGAATCGGAGTTTATATTTTATATTTTGATGATATGGTAAAATTGATGATTGCATTCTCAACCCAATTTTCGGATCGAAAGGTCAATCGCGCCTTCAAATATTCATTCCCCTCCTAAACTGATTTTTATTTTTATTTTTATTTTTATTTTTATTTTTATTTTTATTTTTTATTTGATAAACAATTTTTTTAACATAGTTATCTAGCATATCTATTCAAACATAAAAGACTTAATGTGTGTTTTATTTCCTTAATTTAATTAAATATTTTAATTTTGTCTATTAATTAAAAAATGTTATAAGTTAGTCTCTTAATTTTACTTTTGTTATCTTATTTAGTCATTTCTATTATTTTCTGACAAAAAAATATATTAAATTTTGATGAGATGTGATAACAAGGTCATTGGTACAAATATGAGTCAGCATATGTAGTTAAAAATTGATATATTGTTTAAACTGTGAGGTTTCCCGAAAACAAAACTCTCGCAATTTAAGCAGTATATCAATTTTAACTATATATGTGGACTCAGATTTATACCAATGACCTTGTTGTCACGCCACATCACCAATACTTAACGTTTTTTTGTCAAGAATTAACAGAATAGACCAAATAAGATAACATAAGTGAAGTTAAAGGATTAATTTGTAACGTTTTTTTAGTTAAGGTACTAAAGTGGAACATTAAATTAAATTAGATGACTTAATGACTAATTATGCCATAAAATAAATTAGTAATTTCCACTGGTTAAAAGTACAAATGTATGTTACCGGTGCAAGGACGGAGGTACTCAAAGGCCTTAGAAGGTTCATAACAATTTGGAGATAGTTAAAGTTTTTCCACGGCGACGATAAACCTTACGCAGTGGTTTTTAGAGGTCCTGCTCACATGAGGTGAGAGGTCCTGCTATATAATCATGTTGCTTTAGGTGTTATATGTAAATTAGGATATGTCTTCTCCCGATGGGTAGAAGTATGTATAGAGGTTTTTTGGCCCTAGGATTTAGGAAACTCTTAAACTAGTATCCGCTTTTCCATGACTAGGGAAGACTGTTGACTATCTAATTTTTAGGAAGTTGTGGTATGACTTGTTCTCATAGCCTCATAGGGAAATAACAATATTATGCGCACCATTTGTCTCAAGGGCGAGCCCCCATGCTCGGTGAGGATGTCACTTGGGGGACGTCATTATGGGTGGGAACCCCGAAGTCTCTCTTATTTGGAACTCTCACAAACATAACACCACATACTCTATTTCATAAATATTTACATTTTTAACAAAAAGATAAAAATTAAAAAATTGCCCTATAAGAGAACAACCAAAAATTCAATCAGCCCAAGAACGATGTGAATGGGTCAGAGTATAAGTTAGATGTGATGTGGCAGATCATGAGATTACCTAATCTAAACCAGGTCATTTGGGGGGGGGGGGGGGCGTCCGACTCAAACTGGAGTTACCAGTGGTAAGGCTCTTAGTATGTGGTTGACCACGTAAATGGCAAGTCATGAGTCGTCTGAACTAAACCTACATCTATCAAAAGTTAACGCCCCCATTGCATGGAAGATGTGGTGTTCTTGAAATGATCGATTTAGTCGAGACCATTAAGAACTACTCCTTTGATATAGGAGGAAGAAAATGTCTTTTTATTCCCAAGTTTTTGATGAGTTAGAAAAGGAAGGGTTTTTGGCAACGATTCGGCCCAGAGGCCATGGAAAGGAAGATTATTCATTATTTTCCCATATTCACCATTTATAAATCCTATTATATCTATACATGTGAGCAGGTTTCCCTTATTGTAATTTGTACAAGTTCAAATGGTGTTCACCATGGAGCCTCGGTAAAACTAATATAGGTCACACTTGCATCTAACTTTCAGTCACTTCGGTCATCTTTTTCAACAGGGTGACACGACGAGGTACCACAACAGCTAGTAGACACAATAAGGGTGACAACAAGATCATAACAAATATGTGAGTTATTGTGGATGAGAAGTGTTGCCACAACCAAATCCTAGAATATCGTGTCTTGACTCTTCAACAAAGGTAGTGTAAATCCCTATTTGAATAATATGAGATCCTAAACCCCTATTCTCTCTCTAACAAAATTTGGGGCACTAAAGTGTCAGAGGAAGAACCTAAAAGAAAAAAAAAGATATGTTAGTTAGTCATACAATGAATACAATCGCTGGAGGTTTTACAGGTGCGGGGAGTCTAGTTTTTCTCGAAAGAGATATATTTGTCGGGTCATGGCCACTAAAGATTTGTCTCTTATATCAAGATCAATCCTAGAACCTAAGAACTATTTCTCTTGTGAAGACGTTGCAATGATCTTTTCCCACTAAGATGTCGTTATGGTTATTACCATCCAATTTCCCGAGTGGGAAGTGAAGTGATGTTTGATAGATCCTGAAAGCTCGACTGATGATAACTTATTATTATGAGATATTTAAGCTCTCAATGTTTTGACTATTTTTAAAGTTTTTTGAATTAATAACAAGCATAGTAAGTGTTCTTACTTTTTGTTTTATGTTATTTTTAATGTGCATAAGTAGTAATGTTGTCAACTTTTGTCACATTATAATGTATATGGCCACTACCCATCAGGATCTAAGCTAAAAGAAGCTGAACGTTGTCTTGAATGGTGATTCTAGAGTTGATGTAGAAGAATCTCAAATAAAATAAGTTGGGTTTTAAAGAGAAAGGGATAATAATGAACACTAAATGACACAAGTCAAAAAAATTTGTTCCAAGAAGTGCCACAGACTACCCCATAGCTTAACGCGTGTCTGCTACATTTCATGCTGTCTCCTACATGTGTTGCGTATTGTTGTTGTACCATTACTACTAAATAAGGGAATATGCCATATTCTTTGGGGTGAAACTAATAAATACTCGTAAGGCCTGATACCTAAGTATTCAGACAACACACAAGTAGAAGAATTCCTATAAATAGATCTGCAATGGCATTAGAAAAAAATTTCAAAATATAGAGAGAGAAAGTCAATAACAGGAAAGAAAGGAAAAATCAAAGTTCTTTCACGTTTATACCTCCGTCATTTCTAAAGTATTGGCCCCACAGAGATTGTGGGGTTAATATTTTGAAACCTCTCATCTCTTTGATAAAACTTCTTTAAATCATTTTGGATAAGTGCTTAAAATACTATGAATCTTGATTGATCAATTAGGAAGAAAAAACAAAGTCATGATCAATTGGGTAATTGATTAAGTATTGCTTATAATTTATTAAAACAAAGTGAAATGCCTCATAATTTATTAAGAAGGATTTTGATAGATTAAATGACGTCAAAATTTAAAGTTTCCTTTTTCGGTTAAGTTAATCAATTAACACATGTTTTTAATCAATTAAAAGTGTGAAAAGGCGCATGGATTATTTCATTTTTTAGCCATGTTTCTTTCTATATAAAGGATATTTCTCCTGATTTATAAAATATACCAGTTTTTCTAATAGAAAATTTCTTCTATCTTTCTTTCTATTATTATTTTATAAAGTTATTTTTCACTAGAATTGTCTTAGTGTAAAGAGAGTGAAAAGTTTCATCTGAGAGTTTTATTGTATTGATGTTGTGTTGTAATTGCTTCTTTAATAGTGTAGTTCTCTTATGATCTATTTGTAATTAATTTGAAGGTTGCAAGTTAAACATATGAAAAACTTGGGTGAATGTTATTAATTTGAGCTTATGTAAAATCTGGTGAAGGTTATTGAGTTGAGTATGCGTAAACGTTGTGGTAAAGATTATTGAATCGGGACTGTGTAAAAGCTTTCGTTGTTTGTAGAATGTTTGTGGATTAATCTTATGCAAAAGTTGAAGTTGTTTTATAATGTTTGTGGGCTAATCTTGTGCAAAAGTTCAAGTTGTTTTGTAAGATTTGTGGATTGATCATGTGAAAAAGCTCAAGTTATGTTGTAAGGTTGTTTGAACCAATCATGTGCAAAATCTCAAGTTATTTTCTAAGGATGTTTGTGTTGAACATACGCTCAATATTTTTTAGAGGAAATATCAATAGGAAACTCTTAGAGGATGGAGCAAGTCAAGTGGTTTAGACCATACTAGGATAACCCATAATGTGATCCTTTTATCTATTATCTATTTTATTTGAATTACTTATCTTTTCTGCGACTTATTTCTCTTCATCTTTTATTCTATTTTATCTATTCTAACATAAACAATTTTAAATCAAATCATTTTTGTAAACCTAATTAAAAAAATTGAATATCACAATTCACCTCTTTCCTCCGATGTTTAGAGTCACTTGGTTAACAAGTGGCATCTAAGTCTAACGTCTATTATAAGACTAGTCGTCTTTAGGAGGTAGTAAGATAACTTTAAATACTTCTTTTAAGAAAAGGATTTTTTATAAACAAACTCACATCGTTTGATGGTGAAAGGTTTAACATATGGAAGACATCAATGAAAATGTTTATAGATGCTATTGATTTTTATTTGTGGGATTATGCTCTAAACAATTCATTTATTTTTAATCATTTAATTAATAATGAAGTAGTGAACAAACCGATAAACTTATGGACCATATATGAAAAAGAAAAAGTGCGACAGAGTTTTAAATCAAAGTACTAGATAATAATGTGTTAAGAGCTAGAGAGTATAATTATGTTTCTATTTGTGACACTACTAACAAAGTATGAGACACACTTGAAAATATCTATGAAGTTTCAACTGAGATAAAAAAGGAAACTATGAACTTACTAGACAAAGAATTTGATACACCTGATGAAAAACAAAGAAAAACTTCAAAGATGGTTGTCGTAACCCGAAATTTGACCTCATTTTTCCCTTTTGCATAAGCATGTGCATTCACATCGCTGACATATGCATTAACATTTTTTCTCTGTGATTTATGTTGCAGGAATATTTAGGTTTTGCAAGTCCAACTAATCACATCCTCTCAAAGATATCAC